GAAGGAAAGGAAAGTTATCAGCGCTAGCAATGTATTGAGTGCGACAAGGAGAAGAGGGAGGTGCTTCGTGATTTTGTTGATTTTTGGGTGTATATGAGGAGATGGTATGAATCTTAGACCCTTTGCCAGGTCGTTGCAAGCCTCGAGGTTGGACAGGAATCGACTCAAGCCCACGTGGCTCAGTGGAAAGCTCGAAGAGCTTCTGCTTGAAACGAGCATTCTGAATGTCTAGTTCTTCCAATTTTGATCTTGGAACGGGATATGACAGTAAAGTGGTTGTATGCTTTGCACTCACAGTTGCCAACGTGTTAACTCACTGGAGAGTGGTAAGGAGAGAAGACGTACTAGTTGGCTGTTGGCATTGCTCCAGCTCTGCCCTGCCAGGCGGTACCTGCGAATTACTGGAGGGGGTAGGTTTAATTTCGGAAGACGGCGGAGAGACTGTGAGGGTGGGAATAGGATCGAAATTGGGCGAACCGCTATGGCAAGCAGGTAGTGCGTCAATAGCTGTTCCCTTGAAAGACAAAGGCAAAGGAGACTTCCACACACTTGAAGGAAACACTGATGTCCCTTTAATAGAGCTATATTCGACACTTAATGACTGACATAACATATCTGACAATTCAAGGAATTCAAGTATTGTATTAGTGTGAAAAGGAAACTCGAAGTTGTCATTCAAATGTTAGTGTTAAGGAGGAGATACTCTTGGTAATTTGCTTTTGATATGACCAAAGAGGAAGAGGAGGAGTGGATAAGATCATAGCAAGCACAAACCATTCCAGCACTACATCATTCCACCCTCTCCTTCTACAAAGACACAGCAATCTTGATGTTAGTAGTCGTCATGGGATTCAAAGAAGTCTATTCAAAAAAGAACGCCACCTGAAACCTTGCCACACTATTAGGATTAAGCAAGGCCTCCAAACGTGGACAGAGTCTTGCAGTGCGCGGATTCTCCTCGTTTTCCGCCAGTGGATAGACGCCTATGAGGACCTGACCTCTGGATGCACCTTGGTCATCAAGGATCTCGTACCATCCTCGTACGAATTCTAATCCAACAACTGCCTTCTCCATCTCATTGTCAGCGGCGAAGGAGGGAGCACGAGGAATGATGAGGGTGGAGAGCTGCATGGTCGCGGTACCCAGGTGTCGTGGATTTCTTTCACCTTGGCTCCTCTCCCAAAAGTCTACCGTAAAATCCTGAAGAAATCGAAAACTCTACCTGTCACATTAAACACTTGTCAATGAGTTATTTTACTCCTCCCCTTAGACCATTTTAACCAATTAATGCGACATCAGATCCTCCTCAAAGAAAGATCTTTCCTCCCCACGCAGCAGAATTTTCCACCACTTACGCCATTATTTTAATAAGGGGCACCTTTCCGAGAGTTGTTATCACCTAGATGCCATTTTTCTCTTAAACCATTTGAACATGTATAAATGAGACGCCTTAATCGGTGCCAAAACTGGTGTATAAGGCTAACATAGAGTGAAGAGCAGCGAATCCCTTCACCGTGATGAGGCTGTGTGCAAGATGTTGAAGTTGTTTTGGCAAAAAAACATTGGTGCTGTAGTGCTTTGTGTTAAATAACAATCGAAAACATTTGCTACCAAAAGCGCATGGAGACCGTGATGCATCAGTTCAGATTGGACAGCATGTTGAGGTGACATTTAATTACCATCAGAATAGTGGGAGGTGGGACCAATGAGTCATGTGGGATAAACAAATTTAGGCCACTAAAAGAAGTCTGAGACGCCCTCATTCTTTCTGAGGTCGGGTTTTAAGTTGTTTGCAGAAGCAGTGATAAGTGAGATCACATGACAAACATCAAGATGTCTGGACTGTGACCACAGTCTGATTC